CAGGACTAAACTAGGACTAAAGTAGGACTAAAGCAGGTCTAAACCAGGACTAAAACCAGGACTAACACCAGTGATCTCATACATAAATCATTTCTCTATCAATAATATTTTTAATATGGTTAAGGAAAGACTGGACTTTTTATTGTCTTTAAGTAGACAAAAGTTATTATGTTCAGATTTCCTAGTCTTTGCTACTTTACAGCAAACAGTTTCTTATTCATGGAGACTTGGGCTCAACAGCCAATTTGAAGAGAACAAACAAGAACAACATTTGCAGGATGCAGCAGTTGCTACATTCATGTAGTTTTAAAAAGCATGACAATATCAAGTAATCCAAAGTATTCAAATTACATTACTCACTTTAAGTAATTAAATGGATTAAGTTACAAACTACATTTTGGGATATGTAATCTGTAATCTGTGGGGGAATACATTTTAATAGTAACCTTCCCAACACTGCAGATTAGTAATTGTAATAATAATGATGATACTGTGGAATGACTGCATCTGTTAAAGTTTGTTAAACAATAAATTACTTTATAAAGTCACTATTTTTTGTTCTATATCAGTCTTTTGATCTGCCACAATAATGTAATAATGAATTTAAATGAAAATACCTCAAATTGAAGGCTTTTCTCAGCAATTTTTAGGTGAGATTAAGAAGAGATTAATTAGATTAATTAATTACAGATCATAATTAATTAATCTCTAAATTTTTTAATCGCATGACAGCACTAAATGTATTTACTTCCAGAATACTGAAAACCTGCTTTAACATGTATTTTCAAACAGTACACTATTATTGCGGCATAGTACACAGTACAGTATTCCAAATACTTACTTTCAATTTAAGTTGCATTAAAGTGTTCCAAGCCTCATTTGCATGAACAAGTCCCAAAATGCATTACTTTGAGTTTAAGAAAGTAACTGTATTCTGAAGATGACCAAACAAAATAGTACCGGTTTAAACATAGTTACTCAAATTTATATGCAGAATACGTATTTTCTGTTCATGTATTTAGTTATTTGCCAAAACCGTCTACCACATTCTTATTGCTCTGTGAAAACTGCAGGTGGAGTCAAAGCCCAATCCTGCCCATGTGCCTCATCTCCCTCTAAAATCACCTTTTAAATGACAGACACACAATCCAGACCTCTCCATTCCCTATCTGCACTCCGATTTGGGCCCGGCGTGCGCTACAAATGAATTCACAGCGTCAAGGTGCGGAGACGTCCCAAAACGACAAGACAGGAAGGTCAAACGGTCTGTGTCCTCTGTTCTGCACACGGCACTACCAGAGAAGAGAGCGGAGCTGAGCACATCACTCTTTGGAGTATGCTATTAGCACTATTGAAAACACTACAATAAATCATCCGCAAATCTAAATCAATCATTTTTGATGGGCTAAAAATACACCGGGCTGAGAGCTATTGACTGCAGCTGCGGCGGGCTATTGTGAAGCAGATATTGTGAAGGCCTCTACAAGAAATAGTGAGCTAATGACTAGGAATAATGGTAATAATAGCATCATAATACGCTAATAGGTGTATTGAGATGCATTGTATTTGAGCTTATTTTGAGACAGCGTGAGGCAGCGCAAGAAAATTACCAAGCCATATATTTTAAAGTGCTTTGTTAAAACAGTCTAAAAGCGGCCATGATGTCAGTGTTTACCAGTCTAACCCTTCATCTTCGTCACCCTCCTCCAAGCCCCTCGGTTCATAATCATTTACTTGTCTCTTCCTCCATTTGCAGCTGTCAGAATTAAACTGTACATAATGGTTGCTATCACGGCTTGCTTGCTTCCTGGCTGTTGCAGATGATGCCAGCCCCCAAATCAACATTCCTGCTCCTTAGTGATGTTTTAGTGCAATTGTTCCCAGTAAATTGTTTGTTTTGAAAGTGCAGAATGGTGGAGACCGAAGTGAGAAAAAGAGCATCTGATTGGCCGGGTGACTTGATTTAAGTTCAAATGAGGACGGTGGAAAGTTACACGTGGACATGAAAGTGTTAGTATTGAGCTAAGGTACTTAAAATGGTAATGTCTCAAAGTACCAGTTTATGTTTAGCTTGTGTTGTTGTTCAGTTCAAGGTTAAGAAAGGTAAAATCCCAGGTGCATAAAAAGCTGGGCCATAGAGGATTTAAATAAAAATGTGACATGACAATTATGCAATTAGAAAATAATTAGAAAATGTGATAAATTTATACATTTGTTAGTAAAAATATTGTAAAACATAAAAAGTTAAACTCAAAAACTCAAATTAATTACACTTTTCACAGTATCCAGCATTTTTCATAGTACATGTATCAGTACTGGACATTTTGCATTTATTACAGTTCATATCTTTTTGTTTTCCTTTGTGAGTGAGACAATGCTTGTATAAGGCAGTCAAGAAAACTCCTATTGACAGCTATTGGATTTACGGTTGTACGGGTGGAAAAAGCAGCAGCTCCAAATGAAGCCAACAAGTCAATCAATGCTGAGTTAAAGACAGTGAAACAGCATCCTGCTTTTGGTGCACTACTGTTCTCTTCTGTGCGGGAATAAACATAAAGACTCTATACTATACTATGTTTGTACTGGCTGGATTAGTTATGTACTTGATTTTTCTGAAACCATCTGATCTTAAGTACGCTGTTTAAGGTCAAAGATCGCTATAATTTGACAAAAATAATTTGGTGCATGTAACTTTTTTGAAGGGAAGGGACAGAAATGAGATGTCAATGCTTTGCCAGGAATTTTCCACAGAACAGCATTAAACACAACATCTTGCATTTATTCAATTCCGTGTTATATCCAACATTTTTTCTGATATAACACATGGAATTGAAACATCAAATTTTATATTTGGCCCGGTGGCATCACCTGCGTATCCAAAAATCAGGATAGTTGCCATAACAATAAAGAATTTTAAACAAAATACTTCTACCTTTTGAATGGTATAAAGTCTCCAAAATGTCACCTATAACAGTAAGCTGAAACACATAAATAGATATAGTTTAATGCTTTACTGATAAATATTCTAGGCAAAATAACGCCATCTCCTCAGAGAGAAGCAGGTGACAAACCCTAGATCATAAACTGCAACTTTCAACAAGTTATAATGTAGAAATAATAGAACAACAAATTGGAGTTAGATTTAGATACAAAATGATACACGAGTGCATACATATCCAAGTCTTTCCCATGATCATCACACCAACCTGGGTCCATGTCACACTGTACAACTTTGGACTGGCTCAATATTAAGACATACACATCTAAATTACACAAATCATTTAAAAAGTGTAATAAGCTAAAAGGTGGAATTAACTGGCTGTTCGCTTGTGTAATATTTCTGCATGTTAATTATAACCTGGGGTTTTTAGACGAGAGAACCCTCTAAAGTTAAGTGATTAAGTGAAAGTGCAATTAATATTAAAACCCAGATTTCACTTGGCTTCATAATTTCCCCCCAGAGTGTGTTCGAAAGGCACCAGATGCAACAGTTGCTAATATAAAGTCAGCACAGTGATGCAGTGAGTGTATGCAATATTTAGAGTTAGTATAAAGTTCAAACTCAAGTCTTGGGCCTCACTCATTCATTCAAGTTGAGAAAAAAACTAACTAAAATGATGAATTCCCGACTGAACTCAAACACATTTTTGAAAACAACAATCATTTGCATTTGGTGGACCAACTAGCAAGAGCTTATACAACTACCACATCCATTCAAACCATGTCAGATAGGATGTAGTATCAAATTGTTTAGTAACTTCTATGTGATGACTAATCTATGTGTGCATGTACAAACAATATGATGAAAACAAACACATTTAAGTGAAACATTACTATTGAGTGAACAAATTCAAAGATAATAAAAAGGGTTTGCAAGCATACTGTACTTTAACATGTGGAGTTGTGCATCTACAATACAAACAATATAGACAATGTTAGCATGTACTGATGCTACAAATGAGTTACTATCAGAATTAACAGATAATTGAAGTTGTAGTATTCAGCAGAAATTGTATTAAAGCATTTGAATCTGTTTACTATGGATATTAATATGTAATCTATATGCTATCTATTCTTATAAGTGTGGTGGTTATTCATGATTAATAGTTTAGCTGAGCTTAAAGGTGCATTATGTAACTTTTCTGATGAATGGCCCGAACGTACTTGACTCCATGGAGACATAATTAAACATATCTGTCTAATGTTATTTCATAATGGGTTTATATAGTGTTCAAAGATACCAAGAAAAGCATACATTCTTACATGAGTGGGGTAGCTTCTCCACAGAGCTGACTTGTATCTTGGCCCTGTGATGACCCGATTGCTTCCGTGGAGATAGACACATTTAATGCATACTGTAGAGCATATTCAGGCAAAGCAAAAACATCTCCATGGGGACATGCAGGTGGAGGACCTCCCACCAGAAAAGTTTTGCAGTGCACCTAAGAAGTACATTAGATTAGTCTGTATTAGCCTACGTGGAATTCAAAGTTAACAAAAAAGGTTTGCGTAGGAGGTTTACAGTACTTTAAAACATGTGGAGTAGTATATGTGTGACCACCTATAGGTATACAATGAAAAAAATACAAAAAAGTCTTGTATTGATGCATAATGGTACGTGGACAAAGGAGTTCTTATCAGTATTACCAGACAGACCATTCAAGTAGTAGTAGTCAATAGAAAATGTGTTAGAATCATTTGTGTTCATCTATATCATTAGTATGTTATCTATGTGTTTTTACGAAATGCTGTTGTTTTGATATAAGCGATATAAGCACAAGGAGTAGAAGATAAGAGTTTGGTGATTTATCATGATTAATAGTTTAGACCTTTCTCAGCCTGAACCTGTAGATTAGACTGTATTAGACTGTATATCCGCCTGTGGTGAGCTGCCCTGTCTATCTGTCTTTAGGAGCAGTGGTGCAGGGGCCTGGGGACGGTGTCTATGGGGAGAAGCAGAGAGCAGCAGCCTGCACACAGCACACGAACAGAGCGTTTACCTGGCCCTGCGCTCTGTGGGTACGCCAAGTATCCGCCTCTTCCACGGGCCCCCCTACCTGAGCCACGCGCCGCCGCTACTGCCGCCGCCGCCACCGGTCCGTACGCCGTTGCCGGGAAGCCTAGAACAAACACACACACATACAGAGGGGCATATGGATGAGTGGATCCCAGAGCAGAGATGCAGCCCTCAGAGCAGAGGATGAAACTATAGCTGTCAGAAGACGGGGGCTGGTGTCAGGGGCGACATCTATCAGCACACTATGCTACAGAAGCCACTGTGATATTCCAAAGCCCTGCAGAGCCACTGATCCACACACAGACTCAAATATGGCCACAAGCAACTCAGCGAGCTTTACACTCTACTACAGATGTTGGAAAACGGGGAATCCTGACAGACTGTGCCAGTGCTGTGCCAATGTCACTGTGCTCTGAATATGCAACTTACCCACTTCTAAAATGGAGATGATCATTTAACTTCATGAAAAGAACACAGACGCACATATTCAGTCATACTATCAGAACCACGTGTGTTAACTGTTCAATGCTGTGATATGAACTTACTCACAAATGTACTGCTATTTAAACACATGAATTTAACATCAGGCCTAAATGCACCTGACCAGGAAGTGGGAGCTACCTCTTTAATGGAGTGCATAGCCTTTCATTGCTCACTGATGTGGGGCACGGTTTTATTTGAAGTCAAAACAGTACAAAATGTTGACTATTTTAACAACACAGACCATGCAGAAAACTAAAACAGTCTTTTTTAGATTACAGACATGAACAGGATAGATAACAGAAAATAAGTATTTTTTGTATTCACAATGAATAACAATCATGACATTTTCCTCGCCAACAAACAACAAGAGAATGTGATTTTGGCCACAGTTTTGCAGTCTTTGTAAATTCCCTGATTAGATTAGAGAAAAGCAGTGCGGCTCTAGAGGCTGTTTATGTCACATTCTTTGGAAGAAAGATTATGGCCACTTCTCAGCTGCAAAGACGTCGGCATAATAGTCCCAACTCTGGGGACTCTTCCTGCTTTTTGTACAAGACTGATCCCAATTAGTGCAAGTTTCTATGAAATATAAACCAGCCACTGTTATGTGCCGGGCTCTACACTCTCCCTCTGGCCAGCTATTTAAGTAGAAGACATACAGATCAGATAGATATTCGTGGAATTACTATTGATTTGTTTTACAGTGATCTGCAGCTACACAAACAAGTGTGGTATTTGTTCCTCTGTGGCAAATAGTGGGTTTAAATATTTACTATTCAAATATGTTTTAGTTCATCTGTTTAATGTAAAGAAAACCTTAACAGATGAGTTTCAGAGAGTACAAGTATAAATCCCCATCTTAAGCATGCGATTACTCCGACAAATATCAGCCTAATAATCATTCAGTAATTAAGCCAAAGCAGTATCAGTGAATTGTAATTACAATGTTGGCCTTAATGAACATGGTAGCTGGAGGTAGCCTGACGGAGGCTAGTCCAAGCCCTGGGCCCGGCTCCTCTCTCAGCACACGAATGGCATGTCATTAGCGCTGGTGATGAGATTCCTCACTCTAGGCCTTACACCATCCCTGCCTAATCAGACTCCTAAAATTATCTCCACAGGAAATGCTTTCCTCACCAGATTCTCTCCATTTGAATATGACGTGTTTTTTTAAGCTAAGTGTGCGCACTTGTGTGCGTTTCACTTGTGCTTTGGTCCGATTTCCAAGGCTGTGCTTTAGACATTACAAAATGGCACAGGACACCTTAGAGGATTATTTTTTGAATGCTGTGGAGGTGAGAGGAGCACCAGTGGGTGACCTATTTTCCGAGGCTGCCTTATACAGCTCTTCCACCACAAGGGGCTCACACAAAAGAGTGATGAGCGCAGGCAGAGGAGGAGGTGAGAGGGCAGGGTCAGCCTAGCCGCAGCCAAAGAGAAAAACAGAGCTTTTCATCAGGCTCTGAGAAGGAGGTAATTCACAAGTCTGTCCACACAATATGAGCATGAATGTGAGGTGCCATCACGCTGTGACTGCCAGCCAGGTGAAGAAGAAAAAGAAATGCCACTTTCTCCCAACTGTCTAACAGCTCGGAGCAGAAGAAAAGGGACTGAGGCAGCATGTTCAAAGGGCACGAGGAATCCAAATGACAACAAAAAGCAATGAAAGTCAGCTGCGTTTTGGCTGCACCAGACACCACTAACTACTTCCAACAGCTCAAATTATATATCTGCCTCTTTCGGTGAAAACACAAATCATCTCAGAGTGTTAATGATGTCCACAATATCATGCGTTTCCTCGTACCATCACGCCCTCCCCTCTCTCTCTGGGCTCCCCTCATTGCCTTTGCCATGACACCCCCAGCAGACCCAGTGGCTTGGAAGTTAGTTGCGGGCAAAGTTGTGGTGAGAGATTAACTTTGCAGGATTAGGTGGGTTAATTAATAGATGGCTGCTGCTCATTGTTTTGTGCTCACACTGTAAGAAGCCACCCAAGAGAAGCGCTGCAGCATTAAATCAATTTCATGGCCCTTTTATTACTGAGGAGATAAAGCCAATATTTAGCTTTCAATTCTTCACAATTATTGGGCCCCTGCTTTGCCACTTGAGTGGCTGTGCTTGGCTGGGGACAAGGACACATCTGTTTATGAGCTGCAGAGGCCCGGGGGCTTGGTGCGCACTCCCGGGAACTGTCCCCAGCTCCTGTCCTCCTGCCTCACACACTCATGAGAGGAGACAAAACACTGTTGCGCATGGAAAACACTTTGTCTTTGCACTTCACCAACAGGAAACCAATACAAATCTACTTAAAACAGCTCAAAGGGCAGTTACTTACACAGGTAGATGTAGGCTCATTGATAGACCAACCTCACTGATAGCGCTGCCATCACTATCAGTGAGGTTGGTTTTTAATTTAGTTTATCTTGTTTATACTTTTGTGATACTATAAACATATATTTAAGTTCAGTTAATCATTAATCAAAAATACATACTGCAGACAGGCGAACAGGTGAACTTAGACATATTCCACAGTGTTACTTTTCTATAAGAATAGCGTCTCACTGTTCAGACTCAGAGGTGAGATTGCCAAGGACAGATACTATAAGGAGGAGTTCTTTTCTGCTGCTGGTGGACCTTTGATTGCAGCTTCATGTTTCAACTTGACTTCTTATATTTCTATCCCTGTACCAGAAAAATCACTGCTACCATTTCTAGTTTGCTTATCTTTACCTTGGACAGAACATGTTTTATTTAGTTCTGTCAAGCATAGGTTTCTCAATCAGTCTGAGCACAAACTTAACTCTCAACACAAGTGTAACTTTCTGCCTCTATTCTCCGTGAAGGTGCAGATCACGAGGAGGTGCTTTCTTCCAGTAAAATGCAGTTTTCTTGGGTTCCACTCCCCTTGTTCCTCACTGCACCTGTATTTTGCCAGTCTATGTGAACTTGAGTGCACTGAAGTGGGAGGAGAGGCGCAGTGGGGCAGTGTCAGCGGTGATCAAACCACACTGTGCAATTTTTGTGTCATCGTTTTTCTAAGATTTTTTTCCCCTCCGTCTGGTTCCGCCCGCTTGCATAGGCCAGGTCAGAAGCTTTGTTTTCTCTATTACACAACTGTCAGGGTGTCAGTGCTTTTAAAGTGGATAAAAAGAGGAGAGGTGATTGGTCAGAACACATCCGGGCCCCTCTCATCATCAGCATGAAATATTCAGCCTAATGTGTCACTGAACTGTATGGCTGCTGTGTGTGGCCACTAATAACACAATGATTAAAAGGCAGTGTGGCAGGCGCTCATTACAATATATGATTATCCAGCACAGTCAAATGCACCATTACAAGCCAGGGCTTAACAGATAAGCCTGCACTTTATTGTCAATATAGCAACCATGTGGAAATCAAAGTGGGTTTTGAAGCTACTGGTGAAATTATCATTTTAAAATATTTTTTAAATTATTTATTTACTGTATTTTATAGCTTGGAGAGTAGACAATAAATTAGAGTGACCAGATGAAATTGGCTGAAATTCGGGACGTGTTGGCTGAAATTCGGGACGGGGGTGGGGTAGGGAGGGGCAAAGTGTAGGCACAGAAATTTTGTTGCGTTCTTTACAAACAAATAAAATCACATTAATTAATCACATTAACTAATAAAAACATTGAGTTTTAATAAATTATTTTGTTTAGACACAAAACGGAAAAAAGAACAAAATAAAAATGTAAATGACAAATCATGGTCTTGAACCCGGAGCGTCGGCACTAAAGACAAACGACTTAATGTTGTGAGTTAAACTATATGATATACAGAAAAACTTGGTTGTGGGACTGCCTCACCTGCCTCTCCTGACCGCATGTTGCTTACACTCCACCTCGCTGCTTCCCCTCTGCTCTCCACTTGCTCAAAACGTGGTGGCTGCTGCGTACTGTCTGCCTGTGCCTTCAGTCAAATGCACTTTGGTGGAGGCGAATGTATGCCTTGCAAACAAAGCATCTAGAATCTGTCAGGGGCTCTCTATGAACAGTTTTTAATGTTCATCAGAAAATAACTACTCAGTATTCTGTTTGAATATAATTTTCAGGACATTTAGGACCGGATTCAGGACAACAGCTTAGATTTCGGGACAGTCCTCAATGTTTCGGGACATCTGGTCACCCTACAATAAATACAGCAAATTGAATAAATAGTACTGAAAAAGTAATAACAACAACACACATTCATTTATTTATTTTTTCTTTCTACATGACAAATTTTCCCTCCTCAATATAATATAATTTTTGTGTGTCATATTGGCTGTGGATGACTGCACCCTCCTTTAAAGGTGCACTGTGTAACTTTTCTGGGTTCACCACATGCTTGTCTCCATGGGGATGTGACTGTTTTTCCTGGAATGTTCCACAGTACGAAATTCAACTTGGCTCTTTAGCATTCAATCATTTACCGGTGTTTTCATTACTTAAAATACCATGAAGAACAAGCATTCTCACGATACACTGAGACGCATCTCCACAGATCTGATCAGTATCTTGGCCTATAGTTTCGTTTCAGCTTATCTTCATGGACATGGACTTACTGTGGAACTTTCCAGACAAAGCAATTACAGCTCCGTGGAGACAAGCAGTTGGA